TTTTAGGTACAGAAATTGAATAAATCAAATGTAAAATAACATTGCATATTTGACTGTATAAATTAAAGATTAATCCTTATTAAAGTTACAAAAGTTATTCAATCAAGAGCAGTGAGTGATTTCTTTGTTGTTGCTGTTTGATTAACATTAAGAAAGTGCTGTCACTTTAAGAGAATGCACTGATCCAGTGCACTGCTACAGTATGTTCAGCTGGCTATGTCTGCTAGGATACTCACCAAGACGGGCATTTTGACATAATTTTTGAGTGAATTTGTCCATTCAAGCACAATACTTCAAAGAAAGCTTAATATTTGCGCATGTTCTGAGACGCGGGTTCATGCACTTCGGATGAGCGCACACACAGATCTTCTCACTGCGCACATGAGTTCGCGTCTTCTGGCTCTTTAATATTTAAACTGGCCAGGCTTACATGAGTTTAGTTTAAACACAGATAGCAACGTGTGCTGTTCCTCACCTGCGAACACAGATAGCAACGTGTGCTGTTCAGGTCTCACCTGCGTTATCAACACGTGATGACGGCATAAATGACAGTTATTCCAACATACAGCACTCGCATTGAACAAAGAGTGACCGGTTTACACCCGTATACCCCCTAGCTGCACCACCGTCGAGGGTGGTGAGGGAGGAGAAGCTAGCAGGTCAGTTTCTGGCAGTAAAAGGTGCCATCCACGACCTGGTAAGCTCTCCAAGCACCTCCAGGAAGAAAGGCACCGGGGCAGGGCGCTGAGAACCAGCGCAAGCTACCCACATGCGTATATTTTGGATGAACTATCCCTTTAAGTTTCATTTAAGCTTAGTTTAAATGAACCAACTTATAACAACTCAACTCACACTTAACTAGTCTTCTACCACGCTACAATCCATCACGCTCCCTAAGGTCGCAAAACTCTGGACTTTTGGTAGTACCTAGGATTGCAAAGCACACTAAAGGAGGTAGAGCTTTTTCGGTTGCTTTGACACAATCTGTATTGTTAAAAGCGCTATATAAATAAAGGTGACTTGACTTGACTTGACTTATCAAACCACACTGGTCACAATGCATGCGAGAGAATGATTCAATAGAATGGCGTGCTGTCTATTTACTAGTATTTCACTAGTATTACTAATATTACGCTGGTGTATTACCCAGTGTTCGGCCATACACCAATAACATTTTCTGACAATTTTCAAGCGACAGATGAAAAATAATCTCTTTCGACGCTACTTGACTTCATCCTAAATTTAAAAAAGAACATTGTTTATTTATTCCTTCCCTTTCTAGCTTGTACTTATTTGAACAAATGCCTGAAACTTGGTATTACGAGCACTTCCTGTGTCTGTATGCCTCTTTAAGAAGGATCTCTTTATGTATTCCCCAATTGTAAGTCGCTTTGGATAGAAGCGTCTGCAAAATGACTAAATGTAAATGTAACATTACTTGCCCACCACAGTACCGGCCACACGCTCGTTTGCTTTTTTATAGAACTAAAAACAGTTTAGTTCGGTTGGACACTACAATTGTAAACTGAAAGCATCTGCTCTATACAGTACGAGCTGCAGAGCCGCTCACAGTGCAGCAGGAGTCAGGTATAAAGATGTAAGGCAATTATCTTTTCTTGTAAATGGCACACCAACATTGCAAATTCAAAAGGGAAAGTGAAAGAGTCCAAAGCTTTGCCCACCCCCAATGTTACCAGGAATACCGGTTTTGTTTGCCAACTATTTACTGCCATTGCCATGGTGGTACACATTTATACAGGTATACAAAGGTGCTGTAGATTGAGAAGAAAACACAGTAATTTAGCAGATGTTCAAGAATCATTAATAAAATCTGGTTCCAGTAGTTTTTTACTTCCATTATACTTCCATTCCATATATTTTAGGCCCATTATATTCTGGAGTAAGGGTGTGCGATATGTAATGTCTACGATAATATCAGAATTGTTTTTTAATTATGCGCAAGCACTATTGAGCATATCACTGACTTTGCAAAAAAAAAAAAAAAAACAGCACTGCATGATGTGGTCTAATACAATGTTAGAATGACCCCAAAATTCAATATGTGGGGTCAAAACCGCCCCTGGCCTGTATCAATTTGTCTTATATTTCTATACGATACAGTTAAGCAGTATCAGTATCAGTATCAGTATCAGTTGCAAACTTGATAATGATTTTATACAGCAGTTCAATAAACAAGAAATTAATAAAACTTTGCCTCACATGCCTCACATTTCTTGCAAAATGAAGCACTGCATTCAAAATATCACAAACACATCTCAAAACACCTTTGCCGTCATATTAATTCCTGTTAGATTTTTGTGTGTTACATAGAGAATTGTGTGCTGTGTTTTGCAAAAAGTGTTTTATGAAATTGAGTCAAAGGCCTAGAATTAACATATGGTTTTGCAGATTTGGTGTGTGGCTCTGGTGTTTGAGTGTCAGGTTTCAGAAATTGTGAGACAAGTAAAGATTTTGTACGACAGCGTTTTAGTGCCACGTTAAATGTTTTTTTTTAAATCTAAGATTACGAGATTGAAGTCGCAATATTTCGAGAATAAAGTCGAAATTACGAGAATAAAGTCGAAATATTACTGTAAGCACAATATTGTAGTTTCAAACAAAGCCACAACAGAACCATTATGCATTGTGCGTTTACATTTTTTATCTTTTTTGAAGGAATCAATGATTCAGTGACTCATTCATCAAGACAAGTCACTTGGTCTGTTCCTGAATGAAACAGCAGTTTAAATGAACTGACTGAATGAATGATTTAATGACTCACTCATTAAGTGTGTGACTTGCCCACACCTAATGGAGGTTTTAGCTTTATATTTAAGCATTTAAACTATTATTTAATTTAAAACAACAACTAAATTTCATTTCAATTTTCAAAATATTATTTTTTAAACATTAATCTCATTATTCTGCATTATGCAATTTTGCAGTGTTAATACATCTGAATACTGCTTTAGATGCAGCTTCTGTGCCACTCCTGCAGTGCAAAAAAATTGATTTTGTTGAACAGATTTGATTGGTAATGGCCCTAAAGTGTCTTATTATTATAACTGACCTTTAATGTAAGAAATCGACAGAAAGATATAGTTTTAACTGTAAAAATTCCCCTGGAAATCAGTTAAAGAGCAACTTAATAAAACCGTTTCTATCACTGCTGTGAAATGACCACCGTACAGAATATGATGTGCATGAAAGCTTCAGGAGTCAGCTGTCACCAGCACAAAAACACACTCCTCAAAATACTGTCTCATTATCACGATCAAGTGTAGGATGTGAGGGGAGGCATTAGAAGCTGAGCTGGTTTAAGCAGTACAGAAGCTGTCTTACAGTGAGCAGAATGATGCTGGGGGGCTTCATGGGGTATTCAGGGGGCAGCACAATCCGACCGTGATACACTCCGCCATCAAAATCAGAGTCTGGAGGTCCTTGAACGGAGAAGTGCCACTCAAACAGGTTATCCTGACGAACACAGGACAATCACTCGCTTAAGTCACTCACTCGGTGAGGAGTATAAAAACAACATGGTAGCACATACTGATCATACGTCAAAAAATAGACTTACAACGTATCATTAATAAGACAATAATAACAATATTAAAGTATTTTAGCAGTGTCTCACCTCCAGTGGCTGAGCGTGATAGTGTTCTGTCGGGTCCCGGAGCTCTGCTGCCTCTTTCATCAGCCTCTTCACAGCTAAGAAACGTTAAAAACAGACACAAGACTGCTGCTGATCTGTCCTTGAACTGTGCTCTTATGTCAATATCTGCAGCAAATATTCAATATACTGACTCTTTGGCCTGGTGCCGGTGAATCTAGTTTAAAGTGTCTATGTTTTACAGTAGAGCTCTACTAGATTGTTTTGTATATTAGCCTCTCGCGAAATTATGTGAAGACCAAACTGAATAATTAATTTGTAGTGTTTGCAAAGGCAAGCATCACTTCAGTATTTCATACTAAAATAATGCATTCAATTTTGTGCATAACCCATCCTTGATTGCACTGCACACATGACATACGTGCTTTCGCTTTTCTAAGTGATCGGACTTAGACGAGAAAACAAAAGGGCAAAAATCCCGCATAATATCAGAGAGACTTAAAGGCAGAGTAAGGGATTTCTGAAGGAAACTCACGCTGTGCTGATATCTTCTGTTCTGGTTAACGGTGTGTGTCTTTGGGATTTCGGCCAGGTGTTAATCTAGAGCTGTAATCCTGACGTGGCAGCACTGAAGTTTTCTTTCTACTGTCGAGATGAATTTTCTCAGATGTCACTTGAAAAAAAAAATTAAAACAGGAAGTAAAATGACATTTTGAATCGCAGAACTTTATTGATGCGCATCACACGAACAGCGCCCTGTGACGTCGTTCACTGAAAACGAAATATGGCAAGCTGTATTAACATTGTTTTATTTGGTTTTTATCATGTTGATAAGAATCTAAACGACACATATTTTCTAATAAATCTATTTATTTTGCTAGCAAAATTTTTTATAATGTATTGATAACAAAAAATGTAGAGATACAATTTTATTCGCTAAAGAGTTGAAGTTACTTGAAAATTGAACGGGTATATGCTGTCTTTTTTTTCTTTAAGTATTATTATTGATTTTTATTTATTTATTTTGTTCTTTTTTTTTCTATGTAATGTAAACCCATTCCTTTAATTGTGTTATCTTTTTTGATGTCTTGTTAAAGTTGTAAATGTTGCATGTTATGTCTTTAATGTCTAATAAAAAAAAAATTTTTTTTTTAAATGCTGTATTAACATTGGTGGATTGGAAGTTTGGGATGTCTCTGTAGTAATAATTCAATTTGGTACTATATCCCCAATGCTATATTTCATAGATTAGGTGGTCTAGATTTTCTTTTTAAAGGGGTCATATGATGCGATTTCAAGTAGGTAACGCTTGAGTAATTAGTGAGAGGCTAATGTATTTTTCACTTTAAAGCTAAAGTGCTACTAAGGAACTACCTTAACCACTCAGTAATTACTAAGTAATTTAATAAGTTATTTAACATATTTTATATCTGACATACTGTACAGTCATACATTTGTGTGAAGCACTAGTGATATTTTACCAGTAGGTCTTTTGGAGTGGGATACATTGATACTGAACTGACACGAAGCAGAGATCATAATTGTGAACTAATTCAATCATGAGCTTGTCAAGAATCACTTCTTAATTATTAACATTTTTAAGTGAATTTTCATTTTTATTATTATTATATGTTTACGTTTGAATATCCATCCTTTGGTAAGAGTAGCTTAGTTAATAGTATTAAGTTAAGTGTTAATGTAGTACTACCTATTACTTCCTGCATAGTTACTTGTTAACAACGGATCATTATTCTAAAGTGTTACCAAAAATTGAAATGAGATTATGCATAAATCAAGTCAAATGCCTGCATTACAAACATGCCTAGTCACCCAAAACTGAAAAATCTGACATCATTTACTCACCCTCATGTTGTTTCAAACTCTGTATCCAAAGTCATGCAGCTTACATACATGAGGGTGAGCAAAAGATGACAGAGTTTTCAGTGACTTGTCCTATAAAACCATCAAGCTTTTATAAGTAGGTCATCACCCTTTCATAAGGCTGCTCCTCATCACTATAACTGTGTGGCACTGTGGATGGTGCAGCATCTCGTGAGGCAACATTAGGGTGACCATTATTTTAGTTTTTCAAAAAGAGGACAGTAGGGGGCGGGGTTCGTGGGCGGAGACATGGGTGGGGCTCCACCTAACAGTATACATAGAAAGATTTATTTATATATTTTTTTGCTATGAAAATTGTTTCAATACAAGCATTTCAGTCAAATGTAATTTATGCAATATTTCAAACTTTTAACCCACTTGGGAAAATCAACCTATGGCAACAGTTTAAAAGTAGCCCAATTCTTTGGAAAAAACGCAGACTTGGCAACCCTGCATCCAGGAGTCAGCTTTGACTGATCACAGGTCGAGAATAAGGAGAGATGACTGACAAGACCATGCTGGAGTATTTGCTGCTCAACAGATTCTGAGCTCATTGACAAATATCTGATCTTGGTGTGATTGCGAAATCGAAAGTGAAACTAAACAGCGCAAATGCTCATTCAAAAATATTTAAACACACCGCATCCTGAGAGCGACTCCCTGATGCGCCAAAATTACATACAATATTAGAATGTTTAAAGGAGTGGACACGAAAATCGTGGGAGCGAAACATGTTGCGGGAGCGGGCAGCAATGGTCAGAGATTCAGCGGGAGCGGGATTAAGAAAACAGACGAATCCCGGACATTTTGGGCATTTAAGAAATCCCGGCCGGACGCATTTTTGTATGTCCAAAAAGAGGACATGTCCGGGGAAAAGAGGACGTATGGTCACCCTAGGCGACATGAACCGATGATGTTCCAGACCTCCATTGGTGAGTAAAGGGCTGGCGAACAGTTGACTGGGCACCACGTGGAGGAAATATACTTGCTAAGATGTTGCCAAACTGGCTAATAGCCTCCTGTTGCATTGCCCGCATCTCCCTGGTCATTTCCAACACTGTTTGTCTTTGCTGAAGTTCTGCCTCCTTCTCCCACTCCCTCTGCATGTGCAGCAGGTGCTCCTCTCTGGCAAAAGAACTTGTCCTCTGACTCATTGAGGTGATTTAGGAATGCAGCACTCATTGCCTGAGCATGGTCTGCCTTAGACATTTTTCTTTTTTTTTCGCAGGGGGATGGCTTGTCATTTCTGGGGTGCCAGTGGTTGTACTCAAGTTAGATAGGATTTGACTAAACGTCACATGCATAATAAATGATCTTTCTGATTTGAAACACGTTCAGAATCAATGCTGTTTATATAATTAATAACGGGGTTCATCAAAAGAAAGCACATGGAAATTTACTCAGCATTCATACATTAATGTATTAAGCTCATGTAATTTAGTGGAAAAACTGAGAATTTCTAAATTTCCCCGATATGTGTTTATTTGTCCAGTTGTAAATGAATACAATTATAGTCATAAATGAATACACATGGTTTTAGAATAATTTACTTTAGGCCTAGGTTTACATGCAACCAAATAATCCGTTTGTAATCAGACTGAAAAGCCTTCATGTAAACACCTTAATCGATCCGGCGTATTTTAGGTCTGCTTTTATGCGGCATCGGTCTTTACACTGAATTCTGAGCAGACACAGACCCGCTTTAGAGCAGCCTTAAATCGGCTGTGTAAAGATACTTTAGTTATTTTTAAAAATCATATTTTGTTACCATTTTTTCCTCAAGTCTATCTGAGTTTTTTTTTTTTTTAATAACTAATGCATACACTGACTATATAATGACAGCATGCCGCTTGGATCACTAACTCAGAAATCCTTCAAAGGCGAGAGTTTAATTCATTAATATTAATTAGGTTATGTGATTGGACGCTGCATCAAAAGTGACCTCCCTGCGTCACTGTCGCCTGATTAATATTCATATTACCCAAGCCTTCGCCATAGTAGGAGATGGTCCTCACTGCAGAACACAAGCTCCAGATCCAACTCCTCCCACTTTATAAACTGTGTTCCACCGGATATGAACCTGCATACAGGTTTAAATCATTCATTATTCACAATATCATCAGTCAGGATTATGTACTACATGCAGTGAAGCAGAGACTATTGAGCATGTACTTCTACAAGAAAGAGGAGTTATTTAAGAAACTGAGAAACATATAGGAGTATTTAATTTCACTATATCAAATCTTTTAAGTTCTGCCTCAGGACAGACAAGTATTATGAAAGAAATTCTTAGTTATCTGAAGATAACAGGATTAGAAAGTAGAATTTAAATTTCATATTAATAATACTACCCATTTTTCCCTCTCTTTCCCGCTAATGCTTCACACTCCAGTCCAGTAGGTGGCGGTAATAAACCATAAGTTGGCTTGTCAACCGCCATTAAATCGTACAAGAAGAAGAAGAAGAACCTGCTACATATTTGTGAAGTTGCAGACCGTGGTCGCCAACGTTTGCTCTTATCAATGTAAGTCTACATTTGATTAATAATATAGTCGAGATAGATTCATAATGTAGCGTACGCCTGTAAGTAATGATCACAGTTTTAAATAACACTCTTAAAATAACAGGGAAACATCCAAATGGGTTATGTGAACAATTTCATGTTGAAGAAACAATACCTCATGTATTTCTTGAATGTAGCAAGTATGAACAAGAAAGAGGACAAATGATAGTAGAAATCAGAAAAAAAATGGAATTAAGGATCTTAATTTTAAGGTTTTAATAAAATGGGCAAGTGAAATAAATAGTAAAGTCTTCTTTGATTTTATAAGAGAGACGGGGTTGATAAATAGAATATTAAACTCTGTTCCACACTCCGGAGCAGAAGGTGGCGGTAATGCACCTATTTGCATTGGTGCCAGCCGCCGGTAAAAACCAAGAAGAAGAAGAAGAAGAATGATCACAGTTAAAGATGTCAATGTTTTGATGGTGTCCATACTATTTGATAACGCCAAGACATGTTTAAGTAACTTTAATAGCGCTATTTTCAGAATTGTGATTTGCTTTGCACTTCTCGGCCACCGTACTAACTAGATAACAGCTAGCGAGCACGTGTATAGCTCTGCAGAGGTGTCCTATCTAATTAAGTTAGCTAACTTAGTTAAACTAGTTAGCGTTGGAAAAACAGCTGGTATGTTTAGATGTTTATGGCTATGGTAAGCTAACATGTGGACTGTTGTCAGCGAGGTAGTTTACACGTTACCCACTAGCCAGGTTACTCATCGCTAACTTGGCAAGAAATAACATTTGAAGTACATTCAACGTTGTCCATAGATGCACAGAACAGTGTTGCGGCATGAGAAGATCACCCTTCAGAGATGCCAGAGCTGTTGCTCTAATTACCATTGCCCGTTCTGCGGACCAAAAGTGTTCAAACCCGCCGTGGAACGTCACGTGGTGGAGAATCATGTCCGCAACCACTTATCTTTGGCAGTACAGCATGAAGGCAAGTTGACAGATTTTTCTTTATTCGTAGTCATTGTTTATACTATTTTACTGACATTAACGGTTGCTCATTAGCCTAATTTGCAGTGAACAACGGCTCTGTGTAGTAAATGCTGCTCAATGTGAAAGCACGCACGTGATGGAGATTTAACGTGCGAAATCATGCGATTTATCGTGCAGCCCTAGTTTAATGTAAGCCTCGTAGTATTGTAACGCTTGAACAATACAATCACGTATTGTTGACCTTTTTTTTAGCATGCATCTTTCATTAGCCTATGTCATAAGTCATACACTGAATTAAGTTATCTTATCAGTAATATAGTCATAATCCAAATAATGCATTAATTGTTCATTTATTTAATCAGTTATATCATGCCTGCATTACCACAACTTATGCCACTTTTACTAAAGTGTTATCCCTTTATTTACTCAAATTCTTTACTGTTAAAATTATGTACTGTAAAATTCAAATATATATATATATTTTTTTTTTTGTTTGTTTTCATTTTCAGAATTCCTGATTGTCAAGTGCAACTTGCAGTGTAGAGAACGGGCACATTTTCACTGTTGTTATTGCCCAAACACAGTTATAAGGAAAGTCCAGATTGTACAACATTTAGCATCATGCAAAAAAAGACAAGTTCCACCTACAGAACCAGCCACTGATGAGCCAGCTGCAATCAATGAACCAGTTGCCACCAGTGAACCAATAGTTCCATGTGCACCAGTTGACATCAATGAACCAGTTGTTCCCAGTGAACCAGTTGCCTTTAAAGAACCAGCTGTGACTGAAGGAGTCCCCTTGCCTGTTAAATCCCTGCTTTTTCCCCAAAAATCGCGTATTCAGAAGAAAGTGCAGTGCGGTCACTGTGGAATAACCGTCAACAAGAAAAATCTAGATGTTCATGTTAAAAGAAAACACACTGGTAAGATCTGTGATGTTACAGAAGATCGTCACCTACCTTCACAGTGCATCGACCCAGTGAGTGGTATATATGCGGTTGAAAAGTCATTTCGCAGACCATGTTCTGTAATCCACGTACAGAAAAAAAACTCTGGTCCACATCCAGTTGTCGCATGTGAAATGGATGAATGCATTTCCAAATTAGAATTTGCCGCTCGCATTCTTTTTTTGTGATTTGAATACTTTTTTTTTTTAAACAGGATTTTTTACATACTACCACATGTGCAGCAACTGTGGTCTAAAATACCGTTATCAAGAGTGGACTGATGGTCTTCACAATGTTGATGATCATTTGCTGATGTCAGTACACACGTGCATTATCCTGTGCCATTCACTCCAGGTTTGATATTATTGAAGGAATTAATTATATGGTGTTCTTTTAAAATGTCTATATGCTCAGTAGCCCCTCACTGCAGAACACAAGATCCAGGGGGCGGAGTTAGATCTGCTCACACTGCATTTTGATTGGACATCTGGCAGATTCACGTCATACTTACTCGCGCTGTAAAAGTTGTGAAGTACTATCGTTTCCGCATCGAGTCGTAAATAAAGTTATTCTTGTGACGGAAAAAACAAACTTGCTAAAAACATTTTTTTTAAATAACGTTTTAAATGCTTAGTTACAAACACTGTAGTTTGTACAATGTGGGAATGGGCACAGATAATTATGGGCAATAACCAACTATTTTAATATTTTCATTTGGAGAAACGTTTGCATTGACATTCTGACTACCTCAATAAAACATTCTGACTACCAAAATAAAAATATAATCTTACGTTTCACCTTCCCTGAAAAGCCCGTCGTTTCTTGTTACATGTAAGAATAAATATTTCTTAAAAACAAGTGCATTCTTTGATTGGCTGATTCTTTACTCCTCTCAGTAGTCCACTTTGACTTCAAATACTTGCGTAGATTAAGAAGTAGGCACATCTGCTTTTATTGGAGTGATATTAAATCAAGTTTCTACTTGAAGTAACAAATATGTGTGCTTTGCACCACTGATTATGCATATTATTATAAAACTATATGACTAAAGTATCGCAGCGCTGTCAGGTTGTCTTCTGTAATTTTTTATTTATAAATAGCTTCCCAATGGCATCTGACTTAATTTACATAATCTCACTTAAATAAATGCATGCAAAATGCATTACCAACACAATGAAATAGAAAAAAAACATTAACACACAACAGAATAACATGCCAACATTAGCGGCATTCAAAATGAGAACTTACACGGAATTAAATGATAAATCACTCCTTCATCTTTCATACTGCTCTGCAGCCACTGCATCATGCACACAACACACTCAAATAAGTTCAGCACAGATTTGGCAGAACTCGCTGCAGAAGTCTGGGTGGGTGTCTTCACTAATAATAAGTTCCCCCTTTCTTCCTCGACCTACAGATCCCACAGGTTTGCAAAGAAAGGAAACAACGAAAAGCAATATTTCAATGTTCATTATTTTTGTAATGTTTTAATTCATCATTGAAAGCTAAACACTCCTGTACACATGTGAAAGTACACGCATTCAAAAACCCACAAGGCTGGAATTCATTAACCAGCCGTTCAAGAATCTCTTAAGATTTGTATAAAAATATGCAACAAGTTATGCAAAAACTACTAGTTACGCATCAATAAAAATGTCCTCCAGAACAGATGCTGGCAACTGTGAAATATGAACAAATACGAAAGAGAAGATATTGGCCCCAATGCCCCAGTTCTGGAATGTATCGGTCTTTGTTCTTGGTATACATGTATGTAGTGTGTAGAAATGAAAGGATAGCGGCCCGTCTGTTTTCATTGTGAAGTAACTAACAGGGTGATCCTGGCACAGGTGAAGTCAAGATCACATAAACACCACTCCCTGTACAACAAATACAAACACCAGTATGCTGAGAGTTAACATTTCTAAAACGTACAATTGCTAGTACAACCTTCTACGCGCACCTTGGCAATATAATCGCCATTGGCTAGTACATTTTTTAGTTTAGTCGCCAGACTGATGTACTATTTTACACACGCATACATGGGTCAAAGACGTTAAGATGTCTGCATCAAAAGAAATTTACAAAAGTGATTTTATGTCCATAGAAAGCACATTGAATGTAAGTAAAGTGTCTACTTTTAAGGTTTCAAATAAGTTTTTGGAGAATAAAATGTCAAAATTTGGTTGAAATAATGTTACAGTCATTCAGTGTAACACAATATTTATGTACAAATTCAAACAACATGCTTATTCTGACGTGTACATATTAAAATATATAAAAGAATAAGGGAGCATATAACATTTTATTGTGTTTTAAATGAGTAAAAAATTCTTACTGACAAATGGGCAAAACCTAGGATAGTGGCACATTTAAAAAAATTTAAAATTACAACTAATTAGTATTTGGGGTGAAAGTAATTAGTCTTTTAATATGTCATTAATTTTTGTTGTAAATATGCCTGACGAGATTGTTACACTGAATGACATTTTAGTGGGTCTCTTCTGTAAATCAGGGGAAAATATGATATTATTTGCTCAGAAAAACAAAATTGCAATTAAATTAAACAGAAAACGTTTTAATTTTTGGGGGGGAAAAGCAACAACAATTTAAAGCAGTATTACACTTATTGTTTTTATGCTTAAACCCTTTTTCGCCTTTGACACACACACACATATACCGTATATGATTTCACCAAATCAGCTTATCTTTGTAAAATGGCACAGCTTCTTAAATCTTAGCTTCTTATATGATTAATATGATTAATCAGTTAATCATATTATATTATGATAATTAAGCACGATTTAATTATTATTCATTTTGGTAGAACTAGTGAATTGACTTGGTAACCATGTATGAATGCATATTTGTCATTTTAACTGAAATTAGGACTGGTGGTGATGCTGTTAGCCATTGGGTTTCTGTAAAAAAAAAAAAAAAGATAATAGTAATTAACTAAGGATTGATGAGCTGCTGGGTTCATGAATATTAATCACGTTGTCAGCGTTGCCTCGAACTGATTTGCTGAAATCAAAACAGGGCCGTTGAGAAACAGAGTTGCGACACGCCCATAGGTTTCCATAGGAACTGAGGAATGCGGACGTAAAGCGTGTCATGGAGCAGCCAATAGTTCCAAAGTTGAGGAAATTACAGCAGTTTTTGTCATTTTAACGCATTAGTTTATCTCTCGGAAATCTGGCCAGTAGTATTTTATGAAACGCGTTATAGTTAATGTTTAGTTTTAGATAATAGGCAGTTATGCTATATTTGCAGTTAGATAACGTGAGAAACACCTTAATAGCGATCAAAACCAGATGCTAGTTGTCATATTTGTAAGTTTTTAGTCTTTCTGCAATCGTGTGTGTGTGTGTGTGAGTGAGTGAGTGTGTGTATGTGTGTGTGATTATGATATTTGTGAATTGATTATGGATATGTCAACTAATATACAGAGGGAGGGAGACAATGCGGTGTGATACTGAGTCAGTAACGTTTTCCCAAAATGTTTTAATTGAGGAGCAATGCCAAATGGTGTGAAAATAGTTGTCTGGGGTGTTTTGTGTACAATGTGAACATGTTTCTGAAGTAAAACCCATTTTAAATAATTTTCATCCTGTTGGGTGAAATCTATGAAGTACTTTATACTGTATAAGTTGCAGGTTAGCATTTTTTGTCATGAAGTAGATCTTTTTGCAGATTTGTGTCAAGAAGGCGGCATCGGGAGTAATAGATAAGTCTGATTACCATTTAACATTTGGTAAACTTAATGTATTGTCTGATTTTTATATTGTATTTCTGGACCAAGTGGGAGAATGGTGCCAGGTTATTATTATGAAAGATATGCTGAAGTTGTGTGATGCCCTTTTCTGCCCATGTGCGTAAATTGAGTGGCTTCTTGTTAGCTGTAAAATCTGGGTTATTCCAGATTGGAGTGTATTTAGATGGTGCAAGAGGAGTGTTTGTGATTTGATGAAGTTTCCACCAGGCTGTCAGAGCTGCTGCTGTTGTCGGCATTTTAAAACAGTGATGATTTTTGATGGTCTGATTGAAGAAGGGTAATTCTGAAGTGTTAATGTCCTTGCAAATTGTTTGTTCAATGTCTAGCCATGTGCTTTCTGATGAGTCAGGGTGAATCCATTTGTGTATATTTTGGAGCTGATTGGCCAAAAAGTAGTGGTAAAAATGTGGTGCTTCCAGTCCTCCTTGTATTTTTGGTTTCTGTAGGGTAGTCAGTTTGATTCTTGGGGTCTTGTTTTTCCAGTAGAATTTGGAATTTAGGGAGTATAGTCATTTTAATTACTGATATTCTGCCCATAATAGATAGTGGTAGGTTCATCCAGCGTTGAAGATCATCGTCTATTTATTTAAGTAATGGAGTGTAGTTGAGTCCAAACAACTCTGACAGCCTGCGGGGGAAACAATAATACCTAGATATGTGATGTAATTGCTGCACAGAGGAACTGGTGGTGTCTGGGATGTCACATCCAAGCTGGTGGAATGTAATGAAAGAATAGCAGATTTACTCCAGTTGATTGAGTATTCAGAAATATTTGAGAATGAACCGGTGTGTAAAACTCTCGGACGTATTTTAAAGATTCTGTGCCGCGAACTTTAAATATTTCACATACTTTTGAAAATCCAGTGTTTAGTTGATCCTGATAAGCGCTCGTCGTCACAGTTGTAAACACGACGGCTTTCTTCTTTCGTTAGGGGGGTTTGTCGTCTATGGAAAGCCAAAAGGGTCAAAAACACAATTTCACGTGTTTTTGACTGACCTTCCATAGTCGTCCCCTGCTGTGTCTGTAATAACTGGTATTGTTGTTTTTTCCATATTTTGTTTGATTTGATTTGCCAAATATTTACCGGATTTGTTACCGTGATGGAAGTTTTCTTGTCTTAGCCTATATGAATTAGGAATTGGGTATGTTTATTGATTAATTCATTTAATTTAAATGTACATTTTCTTAATGTATCCTGTGTTTCTTCTGTTGGGTTATTTATATTGATGTCTTCAAGTTCTTTGATTTTTTTGTTCCAGTTCAGCTTGTTGTTCCTTCTCTTTCCTTTTTTTGTAAACGGAGAATGAAATTATTATTCCTCTTTAGTACTGCTTTCCCTGCTTCCCACAGAAGAGATGGAGATGATTCTGGGGAGTCCTTCATCTCTAGAAAGCATGCGCACTCTCTTTTAA